TTTTTTTACCCTTATGGTCATTTTTAGAGTCCTGGTGTGGCACCATAGGATAAACACTTGACATCAAGGTCAGTTTGAACAGCAAGTTTGGCACTTAACAACAACAACATGTACCAGTATTACTTTATATGCATTATCTCATGTATGAAACTTGTAAAGTTGTCACTTTTATTATTCCCATTTTGTACATAAGAGTACTCGGGTTCCACTAAGATAAATCTCTTCCCCAATTGCTAGAAAGGGAGACCAAGCCAGACATCCTAATATTCCTGACCTGGCCACTCCTTCCCCTTCTGGCTCCAGCTCAATGCAGTGTATAAGTCTTTCCTGGACCTTGCAAATCATTTACCCCAACTCACTCAATTTACAGGTAAGAAAACCAGCTCAGTGGGGGAAAGGAGCATTGCCCAAGAATACTTTAATAAATTTGTGACTAAGCCCGAATGACAGCCTAGTCTTTGGCTGGTCAGACCAGGGTTTTTTCTAGTGCTCACACCTGGGCTGATGACCCACACAACACACCTCCACTAGGCCCTGTCTGGGAGGTGGTTGATGCCGGTGGGGGACTGACATTCCCATTCTTGTGCCTTACCAACCTGCCCAGCTCAGGAAATGGAAGTGTGTGTAGTAGAGCGGTAGATGTGTGTGTGTGGAGGGTGTGTGGGGGTGGGAGGTGGAGGCATTGTTGTTGTTAAGTGCCGTGGAGTCGATTCCAACCCATAGCGACCCTGTACAGGGTTTCCGAGGCTGTAAATCTTTACGGGAGCAGAAAGCTTCATCTTTCTCCCGCGGAACAGCTGGTAGTTTCGAACTGTTGACTTTGCGGTTCGCAGCCTGATTCGTAATCACTACGCTAGCAGAGCTGTCTGAGTGGAGGCATGGTAGCCTTTTATTGCAGGCAACCCTGGAAGCCAGGATAGCTGGGATTACAGAGCCTGGAAGGGAAGATGTTTTGATTTTGGGTAGGGAGTGCACACTAAGCCAGTGCTCCCAGTCTCCCTGGCTTCATTTCCTCTTAAGGTTGAGGCTCATTTTTGAGACGGAAATGCTGGTCATGAGGTTAACTACCCTCTCAGGCCCCATGTCAGTAGGTTTTCATCCTGGAACTGAAACCATCTTCCCACTCAGACAGCAAGCACTCCCTTCCAAACGAGTAATACAAGGTGTAAACACTCAGTCCTCTAATGCCTGCCTTGGGGCCTCCATGGACTTGAAGTAAGTCTAAGTCTACACCACCGGAAAGGCTGACAGGGTCCCACCTCTCAGGTCCTTGGTATCTAGTAGGGGTTTGGCCCACATCAGATTAGCATGATTGTTCCTCCCTTCCCCACCCTCCTATTGTGCCCCTTCACCTCACCAGGCTAATCACTGGTGGGCAAGGAAGAGAACCAAGCACACTGTTCCTGACATCTCGCCATCTTGGAGCCTTGGCAGGTCCGCTTCTGTATAAATTCCGACGCTTTGTACAAGGGAGTGGCCTCAGCGATCCTGTTCTCGGAGAGGAGCACCCTCTTGTGGCTTCCAGGAGAAGTGCAGTTTCCCACCCCCGCCCTACACCACTTTTGTGTGCTCATGGAACAAGTATTTATTGAGGGCCACTAAGTGCCAGGTGCTGAAGAAGATAGATAAGATACCTGCTCTGTAGGCAGTACATGTCTGTGTGTGTGAGTGTAGGGGCAAGCAATAAAGGAGAAACAAATAAATGAGGTAGTTACTAGTAGTGACAATGGCTGTTGTTAGTTGCCTTCACATTGGACTTGGCAACCCCATGTATATCAGAGTAACTAGGAAGAAAATAAAACAGAGAAATGTGACAGAGAGTGACTCACAGGAGAAACACAGGGAAGAATGGAGAAGGAAGTTTTCCTTGAAAGGAGACCTGGGTGACAGGGTCAGTCATGAAAGGATTTGGGGCAAGGAGCAAAAGCATTCTCTGTTGAAGAAAAGGCTACTGCAAAGACCTTCTGGCAGGAACTTGAAAGGGAAAATAGCATGAGATCAGACAGGTGAGCTGGGCCAGACTGGATTCTGTAGGATAAGATACATTTTTTCTAGTTGTTGTTAGTTTACTTAAATGGGTTCCAACTCATGGCAACCCCTTGTGTTGCAAACTAGAATTGCTCCATAGCAATAATGGAATTTAATCTTAATGGAAGCAGATTGTCAGACCTTTCTTTCCTGGTGCCGTTGGATAGGTTCAAACCACCAACCTTCCGGTTAGCAATCAAGTGCAAACCATTTGTATCAACTAGGGACCTGATTCTAGACTTAATGTTACTGTATTTAATGAGTTCTGAACAGAAGAGTAATGTGGCTCGATTGCCAATTAAAAGAACTCCTTAGGCTGCTGTGTGAAGACTGGACTTTGAGGGAAGGCAGAAAGAGTTGAAGCAAGGAGATTATTGCAGACACTAGAGGGCTAGTGAAATAACTCCGGTGACAAATGATGGCAACTTGGATCAAGGTAGTAGTGCTGTTTTGTCAGTGGTGTTATTAAGTGCAATTAAGTCAAGACCAACTCATAGTGACCTTATGCACAACAGAACGAAACACTGCCCAGTCCTACACCAACCTCACAGTCATTGCTACAACTGAACCCATTGCTTCTGCCACTGTGCCAATCCATTGCGTTGGGAGTCATCTTCCTCTTTTTTGCTGACCCTCCACTTCACCAAGCAGGATGTCCTTCTCCAGGGACTGGTCCCTCTTGATAATATATCAGAAGCATGAGAGAGGAAGTCTAGCCATCCAGTCCTTCCAACACAGATTGGTTTGCTCTTTTGGCAGTCCATGGTACTTTTAATATTCTCCTCCAACACCATAACTCAAGTGCATCAATTCTTCTATGGTCTTCCTTACTCACTGTACAACTGTCACATGAATATGAGGTTACTGAAAATACCCTGGCTTGGATTAGGGTACCTTAGTTCTCAAAACACATTAAAGGGGTCTTGTGCAGCAGATTTGCCTAATGCAATATGTTGTTTGATTTATTGACTGCTGCTTCCATGACTTTTAATAGTTGATCCGAGCAAAATGAAGTCCCTGACAATGGCGATCTTTTCGCCATTTATCTTGATGTTATTTATTGGTCCAGTTGTGAGGACTTTTGTTTTCTTTATATTGAGGTGCAACCTATACCGTAGACTGTGGTCTTTGAAAATCTCCATCAGTAAGTATTCTAAGTCATAGTGCTGCTGGTGGTGGTGGTTATGTGCCGTGGAGTTGATTCCAACTCATGGCAACCTTGTACAGGGTTTCCGAGGCTGTAAATCTTTACAGGAGCAGAAAGCCTCATCTTTCTCCCGCGGAGCGGCTGATAGTTTCAAACTGCTGACCTTGTGGTTCGCAGCCCAATTAGTAACCGCTACGCTACCAGAGCTCCTTAAGTCATAGTGCTGTTGTTGTTGTTGTCAGGTGCCATCGAGTCAGAACCGACTCATAGCGACCCCATGCACAGCAGAACAAAACAATGTCCGATCCTGGGCCAACCTCACTACCGCTGTCGCACTTGATACCATCAGTGATGCCACCTGGCTGATCCATCTCGTTGGGGGTCTTCCTCTTTTTCTCTGACCCTCCATCTTACCCAGCATGACATCCTTCTCCAGCGACTGTTCCCTCCTGACAATATGTCCAAAGTATGAGAGATGAAGTTTAGCCATCTTGGCCTCCAGAGAGCACTCTGGCTGCACTTCTTCCAAAACAGATCTATTGGTTCTTTTGGCAGTCCATGGCACTTTTAGTATTCTCCTCCAACACCACAATTCAAAGGAAACAATTCTTCTACGATCTTCCTTATTCACTGTCCAAAGTCATAGTGCTAGAGATGGGGAAATATGATTGGATTCTAGGTATGTGTTGAAAGTAAAGTCACCAGGATTTGCTAATAGACCACATTCCCCTTTGCTTGCTCATTTAACTCAGGAACCCTTCACATACAACCTCTAGTTGGCTCCTCTGTCTTCATTGGGGGGCTGAGTTAGAGGAGCAGACCCCAGGGGCACCACTAAATTGGGAGTTATCAGGTGTTGTTGGACATAGGAATTTATGACTCAGGAATTATGCTCACTATGAACAGTATCCGTTTTCCATCGCCGCTGTCTCCCTTACTACACTTGGCTTCCATAGATCTGGTTCTTTATTGGAACCTTCTGGTTTGAACTGCAAGGCCGGCGGTTCAAACTCACCAGACACTCCTCAGAAACTCTATACAGGGACCCTATGACTCAGAACCAACTCAACGGCACTTAACAACAACAACAACAATTTGTCCAAGTGAGTGTGTCTGTGACCCCAAGCTGTGTTGGTGATACCCAAAACAGTCCTGTATGTTTGTTGTTTGTATATGATACAAGGTAGGAGGCAGCATAATCAGCCCTCAAATCCAGGCCAGCCATTTACTCCTATTTACACACAACACAGTGGGGTCAGACCGAATCCCACAGGAAATACAAACACATACCTTGGCCTTAGGTTGAACATTTCTAGAGAACCTGGGAAAGGCAAGGCTGACTTATAAATACTCAGGGGTGGAGAAGCATGAGGAGTAGTAGGCAGTGAGGAGCTGGAAGTGACCGGGTCTGCTCTAGAGACAGCAGACCTTGCTGTGTTTGTGCTGTTGTTTAGTGAGAGGTACATTATAAATACAGCCAAACAGAAGGTCCCTGGCATCAGAATCCTGACATCAATTTGCCCCAATCCCAAGATTCTGTACAAACCTTACCAAGATGAAGTTGCCAAGCCAGGAGGAGTTTGAAGCCCCCAGTCTTTCTGAAACTGTTCCTGCAGGACATCTGGATAGTGGCCTTGGCACTGGCCCCAGTCCTGATGGTCTGTCAGACACAGGCAGCAGGGAACTGGGGGTGTCCAAAGACCCCCTGCTCTTCATTCAGCTCAACGAACTCCTGGGCTGGCCTGAGGCTCTGGAGTGGAGGGAGACAAGCAGGTGAGTAGGATCCAGGCCAGATTTGTGAGTGGAGTTTGTCTTTTACCTAGCAGGGCCTCTTTCATGATCCCCAGCTCCTCTTGTGGGCTTCTTCCACCCACATTTGGGATGTCTCCCTGGCCTCACCCTTCATGATACCTACCTAACCTTCTTTACAGTCTAGTTCTGAGTTTTCCAAGATCCAAGATGAGGGGAGACTACCTCCATGGGGGGACAATCTGTGACACTGGGCCCAGTTCTCCCCCATTGCTCTACCTTCTCTATCGAAGTTCCCCGGCCTCCCCCTTCCTGGGCCTGGGAGAGGTACCCCCAATAGCACTGTACAACCCCCCACAGGTGGGTGCTGTTTGAGGAGAAACTAGAGGTGGGTGCGGGCCGGTGGAGCACGCCCCATGTGCCTACACTGGCACTGCCCAGCCTCTACAAGCTCCGAAGCCTGCTGGCCGAGGGCCATGTACTGCTGGATTGTCCAGCCCAGAGCCTCCTGGAACTTGTAGGTATGGAAGGAAACTTTTTCAGTAAGGGCCTGGGCAACCAGGTCACGTCTCAAAAGTCTTGAAATTTTCCAGAGCCCATCCCATCCCACCCTTTGGATTGTCCATCTCTGTCACAGGGTAGAAACAAAAAAGCTGAGTGGAGGAGCAAATTCATTGGCCTCTGCATTCCCTGGGACTCCCAGAGGGAAGGGGGCAGATGGGAAGCGGGGGTTGTGGAGGCAGGAAGCCCTCAGGAAGGGATTTGAGCCTCACATCTGTTCCCCAGAACAGGTGACCGGAGTGGAGTTGCTGAGCCCAGAGCTGAGAGGGCAGCTGCAGGCTTTGCTGATGCAGAGACCCCAACACCACATCCAGTCCACAGGCATCAGGCCTTGCTGGGGTGAGAGGCTCCTCCCTGGGGTGGAAGGGCTCCAGGTTTCCCCTGCACTTTCCTAGACCAGCTGTGGCCTAGACTCTCTCAGATCTCAGCCCAGGACTCATGCACAAGGAATAGTCAGTAGTAATAGTATTGGAAGAAGAATGGAGGGTCTGGCTCTGTAAAAAGGTTATACTTGGCTAGGCACTATGCCAGGAACTTTATACACAACATCGCATTTAATCTATACAGTGACCCAGTAAGGTAGTACCACTACTTTGCCCATTTTAGAGAGAAGAAAACTGAGGTCCAGAGAGAGGAAGAGTGTGTCTAAGTCACACAGCTTACCCATGGCAAAATTGGTCAGGAAGACCTGGTGGGTTCACCTGCATAGTTTTACTCTTAATTGTTGTTGTTGTTATGTGCCGTGGAGTCAGTTCTGACTCATAGTGACCCTGTACGGAGTTTCTGAGGCTGTAAATCTTTATGGAAGCAGAAAGCCTTATCTTACCCCCGTGGAACAGCTGGTAGTTTCAAACTGCTGACCGTGAGATAAGCAGCCCAATTCATAACCACTTAATCTTAATTAATCACTGCATAATCCTGTCTTGTAGGGTCTGCCCTGGCAAGAGAGGCTTCTCATGATGAGGAATGCCCCCTGAAGGAACAGGTTTGTGTCCCATCCTTGGGCACAGCTGGGAGATGGGTCAGAGATGAACATAGTCCTGGTATGGCACTGTGGGTTAATGCGGTGGACTGCAAGGTTGGTTTGAACTGCAAGGGTGGTGGTTCAGGCTCACCAGCCACTCCTCAGAAACCCTATACAGGGTCTCTATGAGTCGGAACTGACTCAACAGCACTTCACAACAGCAAACCCTCCATTTGACCATTCATCAGCCAAGAGATCTTGCCAATGTCTCCATCCTCAAATAAACTCTCATCTTATGTCTTCCTGAACCCCCATTCAGCATCAGAACCCCCTGAGACAGAAGCTGCCTCCAGAAGCTGAGGCAGGGGTTGTACTGGCTGGAGAGCTGGGGTCCCTGGCACAACCGCTGGGGGCCTTTGTGCGACTTCAGGATCCAGTGGTGCTGGGGCTCCTAACGGAGGTGCCAATCCCCAGCCGGTGAGTGAAGGGCAGGGATCCTGAGACCTAGAAGAAGGACTTTTACCAGGGAGGAGGTGTGGTTCTCTGAGGGTTGTAGGGGATGGTGCTCAGAGGTCTGTATGGTGGTGGTGGTGGTGGTGGTGGAGGGGGTACAATGGTCTGGGCTGAAGAGTAGGTGCACATGAACATATGTATGGGGGCTGGATAGGGAGGTCAGCTTTAACCCTCTCTGGGGCCTGGTTCCTTCCTCAGGTTTTTCTGCCTCCTGCTTGGCCCCCCAATGCAGGGAAGAGGCTACCATGAGATGGGCCGGGCAGCCTCCGTCCTCCTCAGTGACCCGGTGAGCTGAGCAGGCATGTGTGAGTGAGCCTGTGTGGTACCTTCTGTCTGGGTGACTGAGTACAGCCAAGAGGCTGCTGCAGCTTTATGTGTGTGTGCTTGAGGACTGAGGTTTGCTTCATCACCACTATAGCCCATTATATACTGACACACAGGAGACACTTGACTCATTGAAGGAATGAGTGAATAAATGCAAGCATGAATGAATGCTTGAGTAACTTGTTTGCCTATGTGACTTTTGTCTTGTTTTGTTGCTGTTAAGTGACATCGAGTCAGTTACAACTCAAGGTGACCCTGTATAGGGTTTCTGAGGAGTGGTGGGTGAGTGAACCATCAACCTTGAGGTTAGCAGTCCAGTGCTTACCCAACAGTGCCACACAAGATACTGTGAAACTACCTGTCAGTGTCCAGATCAGCACTTATGCCTATTCTGTGGCCCTTTCGTCAGCAATTCCAGTGGTCCGCTCGCCGGGCCAGAAGCCACCATGACCTTCTGGCAGCCCTGGAGGCCTTCCTAGAGGAGGTGACAGTGCTCCCTCCAGGTCGGTGGGATCCGACAGCCAGGATTCCACCGCCCAAATGTCTGCCCTCTCAGCAGAAAAGGTACTCGGGGCCATCATCCAATGCAGATCTTCTCTACAATTTCTGGGTATAGTTCTACTATTGGGGAGGGGCAGAGGTCTCAGACTGTCCTAATTCTGTATCCTGCTCTCTCGCTGGAGATCTTGAAAGAGTGCCTCACCCTACTGCAGCCTAGCTTTTCCATCTGTAAAAAGGGCCCAGTCTGACCCAGACTTCTTGGAAGGCCATGTCTCATCAGTCAGAGCGACTGGCCTCCTCGGCAGAGACACGAGCAACCACCAGGGGGCAGGGCGTCACGAACTCTGACGCCCATATGTGAACTACTCACCTCAAATTCTGCCCAGATCTCTTTCACAAATGCGTGAAGTCAAGGACACCTCCGTCCCACGTGGGGCCCCAGCTGAGGGCAGGAATGGCCATGGGTCACACGCGGCCAACCCGGAATTACAGCGGACTGGCAGGTGAGGCGAGCTGGGGTAAGGGTAAGGGTTGAGTTCCTGAGTGGGGATGGGGTGGGGTGGGGTGGAGGAGCAATCATAGTGGGTTATGGGATAAAATGAAAGTAGATAGGGGTGTGGGGCAATGGAACTGGATCACTGAGGACCCACTGGCGGGAGGCTGTTTGGGGGTCTTATCCAGGATGTACGCCGCAAGGCCTCATGGTACCCCAGCGATTTCTTGGACGCCCTGCACCTCCAGTGCTTTTCGGCTGTGCTCTACATTTACATGGCCACCATCACCAATGCCATCACTTTTGGGGGGCTGCTGGGAGATGCGACCGATGGTGCCCAGGTAGGTAGAGCTGCCTATGGTGTACAAGCTGTGGCGCCCAGCCCCTGCCCTTCATTCCTTGGAACTATCTGTGGGATGGGGAGGGTCTCCAGAAGCTTGGGCTGGACTGAGCCCTTGCTGGCATCCAGGGGGTGCTGGAAAGTTTTCTAGGCACATCAGTGGCTGGAGCTACCTTCTGCCTGCTGGCAGGCCAACCCCTAACCATCCTCAGCAGCACCGGGCCAGTGCTGATCTTTGAGCGCCTGCTCTACTCCTTCAGCAGGTAGGAGAGCTGCCCCACCTCATCAGACCCTCATCAGTCACACCCTAGACCTGGTTCTGGCTGTGTCAATGGGGGAGAGTAGGAACTATCTGGCTTGAGGGGCACCTAACCTGGGTTAGGTGGGAGCAGAACAGCTCTGCTGAGCCCTGCCTATCTCATACCCCTCAGAGATCACAGCCTGGACTACCTGCCCTTCCGGCTGTGGGTGGGTATCTGGGTTGCTACCTTTTGCCTGGTGCTGGTGGCCACAGAGGCTAGTGTGCTGGTGCGTTACTTCACCCGATTCACCGAGGAAGGCTTCTGTGCTCTCATCAGCCTCATCTTCATCTACGATGCCATGGACAAAATGCTGAACTTGGCCCATGCCTATCCTATCCAGAGACCTAGCCCTGCCATAGCAGGGTCCACTGTCTATGGTTGTCTCTGTGAGTTCCGAGACCCAGAAGGTGGGTAAGGGAGATTGGCCGGGGGTAGAAAGTACAGGAGGGAAGAGAATCATCTCCTCAATTTCCATTTCTGGTTACATTTGAGGGAATGTAGAGTACTTACTGGAGCTTTGAGGGGACCCAATAACCAGCAGCATTCTTTCCCACTGAGGTTCTAAATCAGTTGAGAACTGAGACAACAGAGTAGCAGACAACGCTGGAGAAGAACATGAGTGAATGAGCTTCCTAATGATGAAACCAATATTAGATCGACCTGCACTGGTAGGCAGTTCAAACCTACCAGTCACTCCTGAGACACCTTATACAGGGTCGCACGAGTAGGAACTGACTAGACGGTACTTAACAACAGCAATGCCCACCCAGTCAGGAGCACTACTGGTGCAATGGTTAAGTGCTTGGCTACGAACTGAAAGGTCAGTGGTTTGAACCCACTAGTCGCTCTGTGGGCGAAAAATGTGGCAACTTGCTTCCATAAAGATTACAGCCTTAGAAATCCTATGGGGCAGCTCTACTCTGTCCTATAGGGATGTTATGAATTGGAATCAACCAATACCTACTCAATCATGGCAGTATTGGATAGAGACAGCTTCCCAAGAAAGGGGCGAGGAAGGATCTGGGCCAGGGACACCAGCTGTTTCTCCCAGAGAGGTTTGGAGTATTACACTTGAAACAACAGGACTGGGGAAGAAGTGTTCCCTGTAACATGTACCAGGCCCTGTGCTAGGAAAGAACAAGACCATTTCTGGCTCTGGGGGAAACACATAAATTCGTAAATCTAATAAGTCAGTATGCACATCCATTCACCAACATTTACTGAGCATCTACTCTGCTAGATCCTGTGCTGCCTACCAGGCATTGAAATAGGTAGAGGAGTTGAGTGGGGGAGGAAACAAGGGTATGTCCTGAGAAGCACAGACTTGGTAGCAACAGAATTTGCATACAGAAGAGTTATAGTCAAGAACTCCCTGGTTCTTTGATTCATCTGGTCCTCTCAAAATAGGCTCTGTGGAGTTGGAGAAGGATCCAAGGGCAGGGGACATATACCTGAATTCTTCTCTACTAACAGGAAATGAATCTCAATGGACAAAGACAAGGTCAAAAGACATCGGTGACATCTTAAGTATGGTAAGAGTTTAGGAAGGGTGGAGGAAAAGATTTCCTATAGGCTAGGAAACCCCTCAGATTTCACTAAGGCTCAGTCATTTCTTAGAGTTGGAGGCTTCCAACCATGGGCTCCTGGCATCTCAGTGGGTTCCCTTCCCCATCAGCTGTGTCCCAGGTGAGAAGGATGTTTGTTCGAGTGCCATGACCATCCTGACCACCTCTCCATGTAGGACCTAGGTCTGATCAATGTGTCATTGCTGCCCCCACCGGAGTGTGTCCAGCGGGGAGGCCACCCTCGTGGCCCTGACTGTCATACAGTCCCAGACATCGCCTTCTTCTCCCTCCTCCTCTTCCTTACCTCTTTCCTCTTTGCCACGGCCCTCAAGCATATCAAGAACAGCCGCTTCTTCCCCTCGGTGGTGAGTGTTTTCTCTTTTTCTGTGGGGGAGGCCAGGCTCATCACCTGGAGCCTTCTCTGCAAATAGAAAAGGATGTGGAGAGAAGGGTAAGCCCAACTCTGGTTGAATGTCCATTGTGTGGCCAGGTACGCAAGGTGCTTGGTGACTTCTCCTCAGTTTTGGCCATCTTGCTGGGCTGTGGCCTTGATGCCTTCCTGGGCCTAGCCACGCCAAAGCTCCTGGTGCCCAGAGAGTTCAAGGTGAGAGCTGGGAGTTGGGGGGTGAGGGGCAGAGGGGAAGATAGGGCCAGCTGGCAGGACCCTTGAGGAAGATGCATAGATACTGTCCTTCTTCTTACCCCTGTAAACCTCAGTTTCCTCACTAACACAGGAATAATAGGATTGGTCTCATAGTCTTTGTGAAGACTGAATGAGGTGCTGTGCCAGACACACAGTGCGCACAGAACACACCCTAAAGTAAGAGGATAAGAGCCTGAGTCTGGTCAGCTGGCCCTGGGTTTGAGTTCCAGCTCTGCCACTTCCTGGCTGTATGATTTTAGAAAAGTTCATCCACATTTCTGAGCCTCAATGTCTTCATCTATAAAATGGAAATAACTAACACTAGTACCTGCCCCCATAGTAGTTACGAATTGGGCTGCGAACCGCAAGGTCAGCAGTTCGAAACTACCAGCTGTTCTGCTGGAGAAAGATGAGGCGTTCTGCTCCCGTAAAGATTTACAGCCTCGGAAACCCAGTACAGGGTCGCTATGAGTCAGAACCTACTCCACGGCACACAGCAGCAGCAGCAGTGCCTGCCCCACAAGTGGTTTTGAAGTTTACAGAAGATCGTAGTATGAAGCACTTATCACATACCAAGTCCTCAGTAAATGTCAACTATTGTTGGGAAGCCCTGGTAGCATAGTGAGTTATGAGTTGGGCCGCTTCCCATGAGGTCACAGCTGCTCTGTGAGACAAAGATGTGGCTTTTAGCTCCTATAAAGATTTACAATCTCGGAAACCCTATACGGGCTCCCTGTGAGTTGGAACTGACTCCACTGCACACAGCCACACCATTACCACTGTTGTTATGGACTCTTTTTAACATTGGCTTGGCCGTGTCTGCTCCACTACTCCCCACCCTCTACTTGGTAACCCCATCATCTACTCTGACCAGATGAAGCTCTGGCCGGAGCTTTCTTCCCACACAGATAGTGCGCAGGACACATCTTAGCACTGACTCATAGACTTGGCTTCCCCCAGGCCAGGAGAGCATGGGGAAGGCTCAGGGCCTCTGAACCTGAGGCAGCAACTGGGTCTCCACCCCCACACTGACGCTTATAATCAGAGCAGATGCAGACACACCCAACCCAGTCTCTGCCCTAGATCAAGGCAGGTCTGAGCCTGAGTTGCCCCACCCTAGATGGGGGTGGGAGGGAGAATGGTGGTGCCCAGGGAGGAGGTATCTATGCCCAAAAGTGTGGTCAGGGTGCCTCCTCCTTATTTTCCAAGGAAGGAGGGATCTTGAACTCTTGATTCCAGCCCAATCCTTATGTTAGCCCCCTTCCTTCTGCCCTCTTTTAGGGCACTAGGAGTCTATGAACCATGTACACATATGCACACACAGATAGACACATGCATACACTGTTCCCATTTAGTATCATGTCTTGGGAGAGGTGGAAGATTTCCAGGGCTCGAGTGTGTGGGTGAAGCACTGTTGGGAGACCCTCTCCAACCTGTTCATGGAAAACTCTCTTCCCCTTAGCCCACCCTGTCTGGGCGTGGCTGGCTGGTGTCCCCCTTTAAAGCCAATCCCTGGTGGCTGAGTTTGGCAGCAGCCCTGCCTGCTTTGCTGCTTTCTATCCTCATCTTCATGGACCAGCAAATCACAGCGGTTATCCTCAACCGCGCAGAGTATAGACTACAGGTAAGGTCCTAGACCCTTATAGACCAAGGGGCAGAAAAGCTCCAGGGTGGGATCTGGTTCCCCCTCTCCCACCACAGAGAACAGAGTACCTAGGCCTGGGCTAGCTTCCTTCTCATTGTCTCCACCATTACCTGCAGAAGGGAGCTGGCTTCCACTTGGACCTCTTCTGTGTGGCTGTGTTGATGCTGCTTACCTCAGCACTTGGGCTACCCTGGTATGTCTCAGCCACTGTCATCTCCCTGGCCCACATGGACAGTCTTCGGAAGGAGAGCAAAGCTTGTGCCCCTGGGGAGCCCCCTCACTTCCTGGGCATTAGGTGAGGCTGGTATTCAGGAGGCTGGGGTACAAGGCATTATTTGGCAGCTTTAGTTCTAAGCTGGTGAATCTCTCTAACTGTCCATGAGTACAACAGTGAAGTGAATGGGAGGGTTCTGGGCTCTGAGATGATTGAGTCAGAACGTTCTTCTCCTCCTATCTAGGGTCTGGCTTTGGGGGCTCTGGGTGTCAAAAGGGGCATTCTCAATTTAAGGACGGAAGCAGCCAGGACTGAGGTAGAGGGAGAGATGCCACCTAATAATCTCTTGATGTAGAAGTACAGCATTGCTAATACAAAGTAACCCATTACAGACAATTCTGTAACCAATGGAAATGTTATCTCACTGTCTAAAGTACTAGAAATTAACTTTGTAGATTATAAAATGTGAGCCTTTATGGCAGTGTAAAAACGGCTAATTTCCCGTCAAAATAAAAACAAAAGCAACTATGAGCCTGAGCTTCGAGGGTTGAAGTGCCCCGCCTGCTCCTCTCCACTAATTTTTCACACCAAGCTAAGGCCTTCTCCCTTCTAGGCAAACTGCTGGGGGATTCCCTCTAGTCCCCTGTTGTCACTATCTGTAATGTTGTCTGGCCAGGGCTCTGGCCTGGGTGCCCTGGGGGCTCTCTGGGACCCTGGCTATCCCCACCCTGGCTCTCCCCCACAGAGAGCAGAGGCTGACGGGCCTGGTGGTGTTCATCCTCACAGGAGTCTCCATCTTCCTGGCACCCGTGCTCAAGGTACCTTTGTTAGGTCATGACCAGAGCAGTGGGCATTAGAAATATATCAAGAACTAACATTGGTTGGGCATTTACTATGTGCCAGGCACTGTGCTAAGTTTTCTCCATACATGATCTCATTTACTCCTCACATGTACTTCCCAAGTAAGGAAACTGAAGGCTAAGGAGGCTAAGTAAACTTGCCCACCAAGAGAGCCAGGTTTTGAACTTACATCTATCTGAAGACTCAACTTTTACCCAGTCGATGTCTCTCCCAGTGGAGCAGGACCACCACCACTAGTCTAAGCATTAGCCTTGTTTCAGGCTCCCAACAAGCCTTAGCCTCAAAATCTGAGTATCACATGCCAGAAGAACTCTGAGGCAAACCCCCCTCTCTTCTCCCTCATCAGATGTTTAGAGGACACCTGCCATGTACAAGCTTCTGCTAGGCACCTGGGAGAAGTGGAGGTTGGGAGGAGGAGGGTGCTAACAAATATATGCAACCAAGTCCTTGCCAACAACATACACATGGACAACCAACACACACACACACATAGACAACATACACATCGGTAACAATTAAGCAACAAATAACAGCAGAAGTGTTCAACAAGCAGAGACAGCAAAGCAGTGGAAGATGTCAGACAGGAGTCACTGGCAAAATGACATGAGGTTAGGGGAAGGAAAGGTCACAGCGGCTGGGTAAGAGTGGAGTAGTAGAAAGAGCCAGATGGACTGGATCAGCCACTTACTAAGTAGGTGACTCTCCTTCAGCAGATATTTACTGAGCCTAAACCATAGACCAAGTACTGTTCCAGGCGCTGAGGATATTTTTGCTATTATTGTTGTTGGTTGTGATCCAGTTGATTTTGACTCCATGCGTGCAGAATAGAACTGCTCCTTAGACTTTTCAAGGATGTGCCCTTTTGGAAGCAGATCACTAAAACTGTCTTCCAAGGCACGCTTCTTGTTGTTAAAGTGTTGTCTAGTCAGTACCAACCCACAGTGACCCTGTATAGGGTTTCCAAGGAATGGCTGGTAAGCTTGAACTGTTGATCTTGAGGATCAAACTGACTTTCCTAGGTTGGGTTCAAACTACCAATCCTTCAGCATAATATGTTGCTGTTGTTGTTAAGTTCTGTGGAGTCAGTTCCAACTCATAGTGACCCTGTATAGGGTTTCCAAGGAGCAGCTGGTGGGCTTGAACTGCTGACCTTGCAGTTAGCAGTCCAATGCTCATTCTACAGCACCACACCTGGAGTCCGAGCACAATATGGTAGTGATCAATAGAGACCATTTTCCCATCCTTGCAGTCTGGTGAAAGGAGACAGATTAAAAACAAGTAAAACAAGAAAATAGGATAATTCTAGACAGTGATAGTTTCTATGAAAAATAAAGGAGGGCGAAGTGATTAAGAGTGCCTGATGAGTGTGGGGGTGGGGAACTACTTTAAGTTGGGTGGTCAAGGAAGGCTTTTCTGGGTGTCAGGAGATAAAGCATGAATAATGAGAAGGAACTGGCCATGGAGAGGCCTGGAAGAAGAGCATTTTAGGCAAAGGGAAATAGCAAGGCAAAAGGAGGCTAGCATAGTGGGCGCACAGAGAGTAGAAGAACCTGCAATAGACAAGATTGGAGAGATAGGCCGGGTGATGGGCAAATTATTTGTCTCTGAAATTCACTTTCCCCATCTATAAAAATGAAGACAGAATTTGTCTCACCTGAGTGTTGTAAGGATTCAGTGGGATCAGGCATGTCAAGTGTGAAAGGAAAGGAAAAGTCTGGGCAGGTTTAGATGTTAGCTGCTGCAAAGATGGAGTTGGTGCCTAAGCTGGAGAATTTGGGTGGTTGACAGATGCAAACTCCTTGTCAGCTCTCCACTTTTTTCTACCAGTTCATCCCAATGCCTGTGCTTTATGGTATCTTCCTGTACATGGGGGTGACAGCACTTAAAAGCATCCAGGTAAGCCCAGCCCATTAAAATTACCTGGCAGCCCAAGTCCTCTTCCTTTTCTCGCTTTCTTTTTTCTTTTTTTCATCAGTATCTCCTGGCTGCATTTGCCAATACCGCTCCTTCTTTCCTTTCCTGCCTATCCTGAGACTTTGCTGCCACATACTGGGTGGGGAGAAGGGCTTGGGAGCCTTCTGGGTGGGGTTCACTAACAGTGACAACCTTCTACTACCTGAGTGCACTGTTTGCTTCCTTCTCTTGTTCCTAGTTCACAAAGAGGGTGCAGCTATTGTTGATGCCTGTGAAACATCAGCCAGATCTGCTGCTCTTGCGGTATGTGCCTCTGAGCAGAGTCCACTTGTTCACAGCCATCCAGCTTGCCTGCCTGGGTCTGCTTTGGATCATCAAGTCTACTCCTGCAGCCATCATATTCCCCCTCATGGTGATTTGGGTGGGAGTGGGAAATGGATCCTAACTACATGGGTTTCCTGGGGCATTCTGGGAGATTCTGACCCTAGAAAGGCCTTTTCAAAAGGAAAAATGTATTTCACCTCTCTCACTTTTCTTGGCTTTACTTGGTTGGGAATGATAGCGCAAAGAAAGATGGGCAAAGGCTGCCCACAGATGGGATACCTGAGTTTCCTCCATCTCAACATCTTTGGTCTGAACCTCCATAAGGTAGAGATATAAAACCCAGAAGGACACTGAGATCCTGGAAGAGGTAATGCTGATACCTTAGTTCGAATCATGGGCTTTGCAGTAGGACCAACGTGCTTCCAATCTGGGAAGTTACTGATCTCTCTGGGTTCCTTGTTTCTTTTCTGTACAATGGATCTCTCTGGGTTCCTTGTTTCTTTTCTGTACAATGGAAAAAATAATTGTATCTAATTCATAGGGCCGTATTAGCATTAAGTGAAACAATGTACAAAGCTTAGCATATAATACAAGCTCAGTACATTTAGATATTGTTAATGTTCCTGATATTGTGGCTGACAGCTCTGGGCTATGTTTCTATTCTTGCAGTTGCTGGGCCTAGTGGGGGTCCGAAAGGTCCTGGAGTGGGTCTTCTCACCACAGGAACTCCTTTGGCTGGATGAGTTGATGCCAGAGGAGGAGCGGAGCATCCCTGAGAAGGGGCTGGAGCCAGAGCACTCATTCAGTGGCAGTGACAACGAAGATGTGAGCACCAGACTTGGCTGTTTCAGGGGATGAGATGGGGCTGGGGGAAGGGTGGGAGAGCTCTCTTGGACCTGGAGTAGTCCAGGAGCTGCTCTGTAGTTCTATTCTCTTTCTATTAAGCTTGGACAGCTGATCAACACAGTAACTCCCTTATCTCCTTATTGATAGAAGTGAACCAATGAAGTGAGGAAAATCTTTGTCCATAGAACTGGGGTCCTGGTTTACTATGAATCCATGGGGGTGAAAAAGGGCTGTGGACACACTCTAGTGGGGTATCTTTCTCAGCCTTGAGCTATGTTGTCTCTCTGTGGGTTTGTATCTCTGTCACTCTTGGTTCTTTTCTCTCTCTCTCTCTCTCTTTTTTTTTTTTCCTATTTCCATCGCACCTCGGCTTACTCTTCTATAGTTGGACCTGATGTATCATCCAAGGGCTCCAGAAATCAACATCTCTGTGAATTAGCTGAAGTAGGAGTCTGGGAGTGGAGGCCCTAGGAAGCTGAGCATGAGGTGAGGGTGTGACGAAAGTGTTCCTGATACCAGATCTGGAAACTTCTAGCACTGTATGCAGACCAGCTTGTTTTCTCTTCACACTCCCATCCCTCATGAATCCTGGAGTGAGCGTCGTTGTAGAAAGGAAAGAATAAAACAAACAATGGGTACCTGGGCTTGGTTCCCTGCAGTTCTGAAGTCTGGACAGTAGAGGGAGCACAAGCTAACACCACATGGGGATGTGAAACTTGGGGAGGTGAGATGGCAATGACAAAAGAGGGGGGAAAAGGGTAGGAGAGGAAGGAAGAAGAGAGCCTGATGTTCCTTTCTATTGCCCCAGAGACTCCTCCCCTAGGCTGCAAAGACTCACACTCCAAACAAATGGAGGGCTGCTCTCTCACTTGCCCTCTCTGTCACTCCTTCATTTTTTTGTTCATCCATGTATCAAATCTTTTAAGTACCTGTCATGTGCATATGTCCCTGGGTGGCACAAACAATTTGAACCTAGCTGCTAACTGTAAGGTTGGTAGTTCAAACCTACCCGGTGGCACTGCAGAAGAAAGGCCTGGTGGTCTGCGTTCGTAAAGTTTATAGTCAAGAAAATTCTGTGGAGCACAGTTCTATTCTGTAATACAGGGAGTCACCGTGAGTTGGAATCTACTGGCTGGTAACAGGTTGGGTTTGGTTTAGTCATGTGATTACTAGAGAAAACAATGGTAAGTAAAATAATCACCGTCCCTCATCTCAGAAGGAGTCCTGGGTTAATATGCCAGACTGCAAAGTTGTTTGAACTGCAAGATCGGTGGTTCAAGCTCACCATCTGCTCCTCGGAAACCCTATACAGAGTTCCTATGGGTCAGAATCAACTCAACGGCACTTAACAACAACAACAACAATCTCAGGAAGTTTGAATCCGACAAATAGGCAACTGTTAGAGTGGAATAGTGCTGGATGGGGGAAACACAGGCTGTAGGAGAAGCAAGGTGTCTAACTCCCTCTTAGAGGGTAGTGAGGGTGGAGTGGTGGGAGTTCAGTAAGCCTTCTAAGAGGAAATGGTCCATAATCTGAAATCTGAAGAATGAATAGAAGCTAGCCAAGATGAAATGGAGAGAGCACAAAACAAAAACAGTAAGAAAAAGCCATTGTCACTGAGCCAATTCTCTATAGGACAGAGTTGAACTAACTGCCCCATAGAGTTCCCAAGGCTGTTATCTTCATGGAAGCACACTACCACATCCTTCTCCATGAATTGGCTGGTTCAAACTACCGATCTTTCAGTTAGCAGCCAAGAGCTTAACCACTGTGCCACCATAGCACCTTCTGACAGAGGGCACAACAGGTATGAAAGTCATAGGTGTACTCTCTCTTGAACAACAAAGCACCCTTTTCTCCAAAGGCAACACAAAAGCCTCCACCACTTTTAATGAAAAGATTTGGGGGGCAGCAGGAGAAAGAATGATTCATCAACTGTCCCAGAACAAGATCTTCTGGGCTTCATTTATCCCTTATCATGTCTTCCTGCTCTGTTCTCTGCCCTACGGCATCGGACTGAGCACTTGCTCTGACCTCACCATGTTTTTTCTTAGTTCAAAGGTACCAGGTACCCAGGAAGTCAGGACATTTGTTGACCTTTGATCTAACTGTTGGATGCTCAGTCTGCTGGGGACCTACAATAATGAAACAGGACTGAGGGCAGCTAGATAAGACCTTGGTCACCTCTCTGAGTAGAAATGAAAAAGAGCAGAGACAAGCAGATTTACTAGACTGGTGGAAAATATTGGTAAGCCAGAAAGACTGACCAAGTTACTTGTCACTGTCTAATTCTTAAAGGGTTCCGAGTCCAGAAACCCTTCCCATTTTGTAGTTTCTGTCCTTATAAGCTCTCTTTCACAGAAGTAGGAAATTGTCAGGGAACTCTTTTATGCTTACAAAGAGGAAAAACTCTCTCAAAAATAAGCCTTTTTCTGTTAGAAAGTTTTACACATGCAAAACGAATCTTCATTTTTTGGGGGGTGTCAAAAATGTAAATGAGATTGCAATATATTGAAACACTATAAAAGTGTATAAATTTGAAATGGAAACCACATTTGAATTTTACAGTATATTATGGTTTAGATTTATTTCAATGGACATACTAGTATTTTTATTAAAATTAAACTATATAGAGTTCTGCAACAGGCTTGTCACTTAAGATACATACATTGGATATTCTTCCCGTATCAGCACACATAAGTCAACTTTATTCTTTTATCATCTACATAGAATGCAAGTCAACATGTCCAAAATTGAACTCATAATTTTCTTTTTCTCCTTTTTGTTTTGCGTTGTCTTTGTCTTATCTTTTTGGTAAATATTATGGTAGTGAAATATATGTAACAAAATGTGCCATTTTAGTGATTTTTAAGTATACCTAAAGTGCTTTTAAGGAGCTCTTTTAGCATAGTGGTTACGAGTCGGACTGCCAACCTCAATGTCGGCAATTCGAAACTACCAGCTGTTCTGTGGGAGAAAGATGAAGCGTTCTGCTCCCATAAAGATTTACAGCCTCAGAAACCCTGTGCAGGGTCACTGTGAGTCACGGTACTTAACAACAACAAAATGCCTTTTAAATAGAAAAATATGTTATCTATTTTAAAAGAGTATATGAACTGTCTTCAGCAAGTGCAAGAATTTCTCCAGGGGGGTGGTGGTGTGCTGTGGTGTTGGTTCCAACTCATAGAGACTCTGTGTAGG